AACAAACAAACAAAAAAACAGATAGTGACTCATTCTGGTATCTCTGCCACTGACCACTTAGCTGTCTGGAGTCAAATCTACAGCATAACGCTTAAACTGAAAAATAATTTGCATGGTTGCATCTAGTTAAGCTAAACAAACTACTTGTTCAAATAAGTAGGTCTCATTATAAACCAATGTTCATTCTTCCAAAAGCAAATGGAGGACTTAAAATATGATAAAGTACTTTTGTCCAAATTTTTGTCTTTGTCTAAACAAGCAAATTGCAAATACCTTGTAAATACACACACCATAACACTAGTTCTAAACTTTGCACTCTTTCACAAGTTTGCTGTTATGTGTGACCTTCATTAGTATTCTCCCATTTCAGTCTTTGGTGTTGTTCTAGAAGTGCATTAGCACACAGAAACCAGAAAACTGAGCTTGCAACACAGCAATCAGGCTCTACCTTCATGGGCAGCTTGTACCCTTCACATTTGCATTGTGTGTCCACGCACTGACTTTTACAAAACCATATTTTAATACACATCAAACTAACAATGACACCTTATGTTAAGGCAAGGTTAAAAACAAAACTGAAATGGTGTAGCTACAGTAAAGCAAGACATATCTGAACTATGAGAAAGTTTTCCTTCTCTGCAAAAGTACCTGAGAATACGAAGGGTTGATACACAGAAAGTGCATGCCCTCACGATCTGAATTCCAACCAGCAGCCATTAAACCTACTCTATTTGCATTTTCCTTACACAGCAAAGTTGGTAAGGAGAACGCTTCCAAGACCTCCTCCTGGATAGGTTTTAATTTTGGCCTGAGCTCATAAGACTGTTAAATATTACTGAGAGTCCCACCATCATCTTCAACTCTATCAGGATCTTACAGGGAAGTGATGCTATCTGTTTCTCCAGATTACAAGCATCATCAGGTCCTTGTACCAATAGAAAAAAATAAGTATATCCATAAAAATACACATATACAATTCCAGACAGTATGAAATCTATCCTGCTTTGAGGAATCATTAATAATTGAACTGTGAGAGTATGCTAAATGCAGACCACTGATGTGCTATACTATCAGATTACAGTTGTACACTGTGGCCCTTTTTGTGCAAATTAAATTATATTCAAAAGTTTCAGAAATATTGAAGTCAAAATACAGATTCTGACATGAGTTATATGGACATGAGTTATAAGGAAATGCAAATAAACCACTAGTCATCCTGTTTGTAACAAGGAGAAACACATTTAAAAAAAAAAACTAAATTAAATGCATGAAATCCAAAGTAAACAGCTATTCAACACTAGAAATAGTAACTTTCCTCAGGTACTGACTATCCAACCACTACCCATTTAATTAAGACAAGCTCTTTAGATTGTCATCAAATCTTATAGGCCACCATTTAAATTCCTGTTAACTGAGCATAATATTCATTACAGTCTTTTAGAGACACAAATCAAAAAACATCACAACTAACCAGGCTGTTGAAAGAGTATTTAAGCTCAATTCCTCAACGTGCAGTGTCAGTACGGGGCAACCACCTAACTCAGGTGCCCAGGTAAGACTCTGACTCCTAATACTCTCCTTTGGTTAGCCTGAGGCATCTAATGATAGTACCCAACAACAGTATACATATCTCATTGCCCATCTGTACTAACAATATATGGGACTTGTGTCAATTTCTGCCATGGACGGGCAATTCCAGTGTTGGCCTCGTAAAATAACTCACAAGAGCTGACTTCACAGAATAGCCTTTCTCCAAGTTATATTCCCAAAGAATAATCCTAGGAGAGCTTTATTCTCTTATCCTTACAGTAAATTACTTTTCTTGGCTCAGAGCTTTAAGATTTTATTGCTTTTTAAGTTAGCGATGAAAGATTTAATCACAGATTTGTTGGTTTTAACCACTGAACACAGGCTTTTCCAGAACCTTCCAAGCTCCAACAGGAGCCACAGTAGAAGTCCCAACTATAAACACAACTGGAAAAATTTTGGATTTACCATGGATTTCCTCCCAGTAATCATTCACAGCTTGAGTTTAGCAATAAAGAAATCCATCATCATGCCCCCAACACCACCTGGGAGATCAGGGTTTTGGCAGAGAAAAATGGAGCAGCAATTGCCCAGCAGCACAGGAAATCAATGGCTTCCCCACACAGGGGTGAGCAACAGGCTGCTCCTGCTGAGCGCAGGATCATTCATTTCCCTTTCTGCCAGCAAAGCTGCTTTCTACGTGCAGTGAGCAAAATTTCTATTACACTAACAGGACACACACACCTTCTCCAAACCCTGTCCTCACCAACAAGGTTAGACAGCCAGCTGTGCAAGTTAAGTGGATAGCTGGAATGGGAAGGAGTGAATACATGTGGAGACACCAGTAGCCTGGGAGAGTCTTTAGACACAACCGTTTCAGGCTACAAGGTAGGTAACAAATGTCCCGACCTGCTACCAATTTAAGCTCATCTCAAATTCCATGACTTGGCAAAGGATTCAACTGAACTTTGACAGCATCAGGAAAACCTAGTCTTCCCTTTCCATCCAGTAGTAGGATAGGACTACTTACTTCTAGCAATTAGAGCTCTAAAAGAGGCTGTCCTGGTTTCAGCTGGGACAGAGCTGATTTTCTTCTTAGTAGTGCTGTGTTTTGGATTCTGTACAGGATTTGGTATGAGAAGAATGTTGATTATATACTGATGTTTTTAGTTCTTGCTAATAAATCAAGGACTTTCCAACTTCCCATGTTTTGCTAGTCTGCCAGTGCAGAAGAAGCCTGGGGAGAGCATAAAAAGACTAATGGATCCAAACTGGCATTTCAATATGCCAACGGGATATTCCATATCATAAAAGGTCATGTTCTGTATATAAGTAAGGGCTGTCTGGAAAGCACTCTCTCTCTCTCTTCCCAGATTGCAGTTTTGGGATTTTCATTCCTCTGGGATCGCTAGCCCAGAATAGGCTGGGCATTGGTTGGTGGGTGGTGAGCAATTGCATTGCACTCATTTGTATATTCTATCATTATCATCATTATTATTGTCATTATTCTTTTAATTTTCATTTTATTTCAATTATTAAATTGTTCTTCTCTCAACCTATGAGTCTCCTTACCTTTAGCCCTCCAATTCTCTCCCTTATTTTCCAGGGCAGGGAAGAGTGACTGAGCAGCTCCTTGGTGTTTGCCTGTCAGCTGAGTTAAACCACAACACAGGTGTAAAGGTATTTTTTCCTTTTACACACAATTATTAAAGGCAAGTTTGGAACATAAAAAAAAAATAAAAGAGAGTATATTATCCAGAAGACAACAGGCCACATTGGCATCCTTCCAGGCTGCAATTCTTCATAGCTAAACCACAAGTGTATTTACATATACAATACAAAACAGATATGCATCACTTTTTATTGATAGGGTTTGCAGTAACTGGAATAGTCACTCAAGATCTCCTGTTAAGGTCACAGTAGAGACCACCACTGATCTCTGCAGCTTTAAAATCCCAACTTCTTTCCCAAATTTAGTAGCCTTAGTGGTCCCTGGAGCATGAGGCAAGGTAAGAAGGACAGCAGTTGAGATTTTCCCCAGACACACAGTTTACCTTTGCTGCAGGCAAAAAGAACTACACATCCACATTTTTGCTCCTTCCCAACAAAGTCACAGTAATGGGATCATTGCAAGTATGTATGCAGTCATCAAGAACTGAACTACTGTCTGCAACTGGTGTCAGAGGTTACCAGTACAAAACAGCAGATGGAATGGACTTCTGGTCAATCCAGACTTGGCCCTGATTTGAACCAGTGCTCTCAATAAGCAGCTTGTCCATTAAGCAGCCGTCTCTGAGATCAGAGGGTACCGCTGTAGCTGTTTCCAGAGCTAAGCCTCATATTAACCCCAGACGTGTTAGGATCACCACTGGATCTAGCTGACTGAGTATCCTCCTACATCAAGCACATTTTGCAGCATCTCTGGATAGCTACACTGTTAGCTGTCTATTTGTGAGCCACTGAGCCCAGAATCTGAAAACAGCAAAAATATCTTGGTCTTTAGGAGCTTCTAGCATCTCAGGGAGAGTGTTCGCTCATCTTTCTACCCACAGTTTATACCTCTATCTCGTCTTCAGTTTAATAAGTTACATTTGTAAATGCAAGTATCCGCCTTATCTCTCTAGAGTCACCATTGCTCTAAATCAATTCAGGTCATGCTGAAATTAGTCTTGCCCTTCACCAGGTTAACAGCTTCTCCAGTTTTGCTATAATTAATACATGTCCGTAGATAAATTACAAATAAAGTGAAAGACAAAAAGAAGTAGGATTACTCTGTAATATTTTTTCTTGTCCCTCTATCCCAAAGTTCAATAAGAAGCCTCTCAAAATCTCACCCTACCACAATTTAATAAGTCAGCAAAAAAGAGACACTGCTTGTATAGAATAAGTTACATGCAACCTACAAAAGATTCCTCAATAAATGTGGATACCACACACAACCCTACCTGTTTTCCTGCAAAAAGGAAAAAGCTCACTCATTTCCTAAGCTTGCACCTTCTTCATAGTCCATTCTAGCTCCAGTAAGACTCATCATTTGGTCACTCTGGACAGCAGTAGGCTTGCTTTTGTCAAGGTAGAATGTGTCCTCACTGTTTATTCTTACAGTTTATGGAAAGACAAGTACAATGACTCATAAAACTGCTGCAAGAAAAAGCTGAAACAAGTTAACAGAATGAGCTTTTCTAAAATGACATCCTTCATCCTACATTTCCAGCATGCAGAGCCAAAACCATATCACACTTTTGACTGACAAATTTGGAGCTATTATTTATTATAAATGGCAAGACCATCACAGAGGCCAAGTAAAGTTCCACGGTATGTTCCTGAACTGCCCACAGATCTTAAGTACACTATAAGCAGTGGAAAGGCTGGTTCTATGTTCTAAAGCAAAGTAATTTTTTTGCTAATGTACTATTCCTTTTGGAAAATTGTATTTTCTTCATGCTGACAATGAACATAATGAAAATTCTTACCTGTTTTCCATCTAGTGTGTATAAGCGTTTAACCACCCCTGAATCCAGCTTGATGGCATCGGTTATATCAGTAAGAACCTGTTCAAATGAATGTGCTGTCTTCTTGTTGAGCAGAATCCGGACTGCTTTCCGTGGTTTCACTCCGCTCCTGATGATAGTGACTAGTTTAGGCCTAATGAAATCCTTATTCTCTTTTGCATCTGGAGTACCTCCTTTAGCAGTGGCAAGAGATGGTACTGAACGAGAAGTAGAAGTTGTCTTAACATTCACTGACCAGTTTGGGTTTACATTCTTTGTGTACTCCAGTTTCTTGAAGGGTTCTATGGAACCACATACATAGCTTTCCCCTGTGGAAACAAAAGTGCCAGACCAGCAAGTTAGATTGGAGGGGGACAAAAAAAAAAAAATCCTCAAATTATTAAACATTATTTTTATCTTTCTTGATTTACAGTGCATAAAGTATTGATCTCTTCCCTTCTCAGATGCTGCAGACTATAAATACCTTTTCAAGACCACTCGTCAGATAATCATTCAGAAAATGCTGTTACAAAATCCTTGAAAGCAGCAGTTTTCTTTTCAGAAAACACCATCTGCAGTGGGGATCACTGCTGTCATAGAATGCTTTGGGCTGGAAGGGACCTTTAAAGGTAATCTAGACCAAACCCCCTGCAGTAAGCAGGGACATCTTCAACTAGATCAGGTTGTTTAGAGCCCTGTCCAACCTGAGCTTGAATGTTTCCAGGGATGGGGCATCCACAACTTCTCTGGGCAACCTGCTCCAGTGTTTCACATCTCTCATTGTAAAAAAATATTTTCCTTACATTTAGACTAAAACTACCTTCTTTTAGTTTAAAACCATTAACTCTTGTCCTATTGCTACAGGCTCTGCTAAAATGTCTGTCCCCATCTTTTCTATAGGCTCTTTTTAAGTATCAAAAGGCTACAGTAAGGTGTCCTTGGAGCCTTCTTTTCCCCAGGCTGAACAACCCCAAAATGTCAGTAAGTAATGTTCATATCAGTCATCTGCTCAGCCCCAGCACGTTAACAGTAGTCCCTCAGCCTTCATGCTTCAATGGCCCGCTCCTAACAAAACAGCGGGCCCCAAACACTTCAGAGGAAATAATATGAAATGTTATCAAAAACTACAGGTTACAAATAACTTCCTATGAAAGGTGGATGAAAGTGTCATAGGACATCTGTTAACATTTGATTATTTAAAGCTTTAAGTAGCATAACTCCAGTATACATACATGCAAGAAGTGTCACTGTATTACTCTACTGACTCAATACATAATATAGGGGGGGAAAGGAAGGCAAAAGAGTAGTAATTACAGAGTTCTCCTCACAACAAATTTATCATACTTTAAAGAAAAAAAAATTATTATAGCATATGTTTCTATTGGAATGTTATCTACAATAAAATATTTTTGCAATTACCACACCCACACAATTTCTGAGGAACTATAACATCTCCAGAAAACACTAGCATGTCTCCATTCAGTCACACTTTAATCCAGTCCAGCTGCAGGCTGCTGCAAAAGGGGCACCTGCTGGGTCTCTCCCAACCCCTCCCTTGAGGTTGACCAAGTCACTGCACTGTCACTTGCACTGAGGGTGTTGGATCAGCTCGGTGATCTGATTGAGAACAACAAAGACAATACTCATTTTGCAACAACAAGCTGATCCAGTTCACACTCTGGCTGCAAAAATCCCCAAAGAAAAAAATACTGATGCAGCAAGACCACACCTTCTGGCAGCCTACAGTTAAACTCTATTACAAATAATGCAAATTCCTATCCTGAACAACACCACAAAAACATTAGAGATGTTTTAATTCCCCTGGGTTCAGTAGTTCAGTGTATACTAATAACATAGAGGCCTTCACATTAGCAGGTTAGCCCAAGATATTAAAATAAAAACAGAAAAAAACTCAGTGTTGTACCTCCTACACCAAAAAGCACATAAGAACCAAAGATTTTCCTAATGATTCCTACCCTAAGGGAAGAGGACTCATGGTTCAATTATTAAAAGAAAAAGAAGTATTTAAATTTTACTTCTGGACGCAAATTTTAAGGTTTTGGGGCACTCAACCCCACCCCACAGACAATACAGCACACAAGGAACGGTGGCAGATACAAAGAGTTATCACAGTTAGAAATGCCAGGGGGAGGAATCTACTGGGACAGGAGGCTTCACATGCAACAGAGGTTCGAGTCTGTTGACATGATGCTCCAAAGGTGAGACAGTAACACACTGTACAGTGATTATCAGAAAGGTAGTGGAAGAACTCCACGAGAAGGCAAAGAACTCAGAGCAACATGTGAAAATGGACTACTGAACAGAAAAGATAAATGCTATGACAGCATAAGAACCATAAGAACTTGGGGGTTTTTTAAAGCACTCTTTTAAAGCACAATAAAATACAGAGTGGGAGCTGAAGTAAGACATTCCAATGCTTACTAGTCATCGTGTAAATTCAAGTTAATCTGCACTTTGCAGTAACATCTAAAGTGTTAAGAAAGCAATCTGACATGGAATGCTTACACCAACTTTACAAGAGACAAAGGTAAGCTCTTCTTTTTTTCCAACGTATATATGTGAGATATAGTTATATATATATATGGTAACATCAGAACAGAAAGGCTGAGCCACAGTAATGATCCAACAGTGATCAAACAGTACATATTCTCTTTTATCCATGTCCCTATCCAATATTTTTAGCACTAGCTACTCAATTACTGCAAGGTCAGAATGCACCCACAGCACCACATCCATAAAATTAACAAGTTTTAAAAAACATTAATAGCATTTTGTACGGAAAAAAAAAAATAAAATTAAAAAAAAAAAAAAATATATATATAGTCTCCACTTGTATTTGCTGTAAGACTTGAAGCCCACCAGAAACAACTTTGGTGGAGAGGGTGGATGATTTTCAGCTTCAGTGCTATCAGAGAAATTGTTCAGTACAGTTGCATGATTATGTCTTCAAAAGCAATTCTTCATATTAAAACTCACTTTTTAAAACATAGGTGCATAAACAAATGCCCATACGTGTTGTACCCAGAATATTTACATTTAGTTCTCTTTATGTTCTGCTTCTTGAAAGGATAGCATTCCACATGATTTTGAATATCTGCTATAGTTAAAGGTCAGCTGGGTTCTTTGTAGCATTTAACAGCACAAGTCAGCTCTTCATTATAAAACTAATTTTGTATAAATGACCATTAAAAAAGACCAATGCAATCACTGAAGCTATGGGATTGTTTTAACATCAGACTGTTATCCCTTTCTTCATTTCCAACAGTACTATATTACATCAATAAAGTATTTGCACCAAGATTTATTTTTTTCCCTTGGCTCATATTTAGCTGCACAATATCTTGGAAGTAGTGTATCCAAGGCCTTCTAAAGATGAAATATCTTTATTAAAAGCTATTTTATATAGGAAAACAGAAATACAGACATCTCTCCCATAATGCTACTGTTTAAGGCTGTTTATACTTCAAGCAAAGTCCTGGTGTTTATAAATCTTCAGGGATGTTAACCAGGGACTGCAGTTCTCGTTCATGATGGTCCTAAGGGCCAGGCCTGTAAGAACAAAAACTAAATGGACAAAACCCCTGTCCTGGTTTTTAGTTGGAATAGAGATGGGTTTCTTTTCAGTAGCTAGATTTGTTGCTAGGATTTGTTATGAGAGAAACACCAATAACATACCAGTGTTTTCATTTTTGTCACTGGAAGTGAAGGACTTCATGTTCTGTTAGTCTATAAGCACATGATCTAAGGGGGTGAGGAATATTTAAATTAATAAACTAAATTGGCATTTAGATATGCCAATGGGATATTCCATATCATATCCCGTGTATTAGTGAGGGTCTCTTCCTCTTTTGGCTCTCTCTGGCTTTCGCTCAGGCTCTCACTCTTCTGGGACTGCGGTTTCAGTTCAGGATTGTCGCTCCTCTGGGATCGTTATCTGGGAACAGGCCAGGCTCGGTCAGTGGGTGGTGAGCAATGGCACTGTGTATCACTCATTTGCATACTTTGTAACTGTTATTATCACTACTATTTTAATATTAGTATTATTTTAAGTTTTCTTTTATTACTATTATTAACCTGTTCTTATCTCAACCTACAAGCCTCCTTATCCTTGCCCCCCCAATCCTCTCCCCTGTCCCCTGGGGGTGGGAGGGAAGTGGGTGAACGGCTGTGTTGGCTGCTGGCCAAGGGCTAGCCCAGGGAAACTATCACTACCCCTATGTCCTAAAAGTATCTTTTATCTGATCTTAAGATCAGTAAACCCTGTTTTATGGTGACATCCAGCAAATTATAAGTACTCAAAAAACTAGAAACTCAAACGGAAGCTTAAATTTCCTGAATGTGGGACCCACCCTGACAGCAGCCAGAAATGTCAAAGTCTAGCCTAATCCTTTAGCATCTGTGGTGCGAGAGGAAATCTCAAAGGAAGGGACAAGACACCTTCACCTAGATTTTCATCCTCTCTTTAAGGTAACTGAGAAAAAGAGAAGACTGCAAAGAATTTTCACAAGGGGCAAGATTACTAGTCCAATAAATCTACCTTCTGCCTTAGCAACAGCTTCCTCACCAAAACAATCAGGTGATGACACAATTTTATTTTTTTCCTTTTTATTTTTGGTAACCTCTGGCTACAACTGCCTCGCAGACAACAGGCTCATCCCTGTGACTTGTACCTGATAGGAGACAGAAGCTGTGATCTGCAGACAGGCAATACCAGCAATGAGCTGGCTTCCCCAGCTCTGGAGCACCAGGAAAATACATCTCCAGGGGTAACCCCACTGAGCACCATCAGCTCTTACTCAGAGTCAGGCCTAAGCAAACACCAGCTTTGGCTAACAGGCAGCTGGAAGAAGGTCACAATCTCCAAACACTAGATTTGTAACAAAACACATGTGCTGAAGAAGGAATCTTTGGAGGTGCAGGACTGAAAAAAAGACAGCCCACTTAAAGTGTCTATTAGACTGCAGCTCCCCAAGAGAGAGGAGTGAGCAGCAGTCAGCTGTCACTAATGACATTTTGACTCTTGATTACAGTATCAATAGCCATTAGAAAAAGAAAGAGGGGACACCCAGCTGTTTTGGGATATCTAGGAAAATAGTCATTACTAAATGTCAGAAAGTATCCCTTTCCTGACAGCCCCCCTGTCTCTTCACAGCAGCAGCACAAATGAAATGCACATCACCTTAACCCTTCAAAAAAAAAAAAAAAAAAATACAATGCTTGTTTGCCAGTTTTGAACCAATAATACTACAATTTAAGTTGTGCAAGTGCTCAACACTTCAGAAAATTCCATGTGAAACAATTAAAATAA